ATCGAGTAGCCGAATAATTCGGACCGAATTATCCTATCGCCAGTGCGTTCAATAGTGTTTTTATAGGAGTTCGTTATGCTAAAAATGTCATACTGGAATGTAAAGAAAAGTAAGAAGTATGAAGTGAAGAAGATTGGATTTGGAATGGTTTGATACTATCATAGCCGAGAGCCACATCAGTAGTTCTAAAATATTCATTAAGTTAAGTTCATTCAATGTCCTTTTCGGTTACTTGAAATAGTGGCCAAGTTCTACTTAAACAGCTATTCAATAGGTGATTAGTTTCTATCACAGAACGAACAATCGCTGACACAATTTGAAGCGCAGCCTGCATGTTTCCGCCCAATATCCGTATCCTATTATTTATGGCCGTCCGATCGGGGCACTCTCAAAAACATACAAAACTGAGCGACTCGAGCAATTTGTCACGGGCCTCACAATGCTCCGTATTGTTTCAACCAGTTGGTTCTTAATGCCCATTCTCATTGTACCAGAAAACTAGCCAATGTATCGCTAAAAACTTTTACGCTCGATGCATATTAGTGGGACCTGAATAAGACGTCATGCCGTACTCAATTGTTGCTAATGGAAACAGTTTATGATTTCTTTTTTCTTACTTATTCAAAAAGGACTGGCCGGTACGTATGGCACAAAAATGTCTTTTTTAAATATTTTTTCGTCAACTGATACTTCATTGTAAAACATTTATTATTTGAATTCTTATAAAATAATTTAGGATTTTCCAAACTTCCCTGCGTTGGAATTGTTTTAAACGGAATGAAATTTTACTTAAATATAATTTAAAAGCCAGCCTAGATGACTGGCATTCAACTACTAAACAAACATAGTATCTGTTGCAGTCGCCGTCAAAATTTAATTGAAAAATGTTTGTATTTAAAGTGTTAATTAACCGTGACAACGCTCCGCGCTCGACTTTATTGCTTAGTACGGGGCTGTTTTTTTCGTTCTCGCGGCCCAAATTACCGTTTTTATTACCATTTATTCGATATTTTTAAGGTATATAATTTGTTATAGTTCGAAAACCTCGGGTCGTGTTTCACGTTCTCATTAATCGGTTGACTAGTTGTGCTAATTTTTTCGTGAAATATTACAAGCGATAAATTTCATGGTTCTGGATTTTATGCCGTAATACGAGACGATCTTATGAATTGTACCGCGGATCGGACGCGATCACACCCGATAAGCCACTTTTATTGACGCTTAGTGCGGATAAACTTGGTATCAGATCAATTATCGTTGATTATTAACGTTTCAAATTGTATTAAGAATTACGGGAAGCGACTTAATTAGAAAGTTAATCTTTTTTAACCTTAATTAGTTTGCAATTTGTGTAATAGAACACAACTAAGTACACATTTTATAAATGATGAATGAGGTTTCTATTCAATGAGTAAATTTGTGACATAGAGAGAAGTAAACGCTAACAACGTATGTTTTTTGTGTGTAGTGCGAGAGACGGACGTCGGGTAGCGGTAGCGGTAGCGGGCAGCAGGGCAGCTGCAGCCCGCAAATGCTGGCCATGGACGTGACCAAGGAGTCCCGCGCATCGCCGCTACCCGCGGCCGCGCAGACATCCGGCGCCGCCGCGCAACCGCCACCGCAACCACAGGTACACATGGGGTACTATGACAATGGGATACGACATCATCGAATTGACTAAAGATGTAACTGCAACCGGGAAGCTGTCATGTTAAACCACTCTGCTAGCTTCTCAAAACTATAAACCTCAGTAATTGGTCTAAGGCTTAAGGTCTCCATGATTTTGAGGGGACCTTCACTAAACTATTACATTTGGCTTAACATTTTTCAAAGTTGCCTAACACCAATATATCTAAGCAACTATTAAACAATGAAAAAGAACAAAATGTGAATTATTATCTAGCGATGGACTAAGATTCTTGTTCTTTACTATTACGTTAGGATCGTTACCAGATATTGAAGTATTTGTTAGCGCCTGTATGCAACAAGATCATGTGAACGCGATGTCCGGCGTCTGACCCATATTCTAATTGATAGCCGATATTCCAATCAACCGACGAAAATCCACATGTGTTCACATATAGAATATTATGTTAGCAAGATAACAATATCGCGTGCTTTGTATGTCATCCTAAAACTGAATTTAATTCTTCCTCCGTCAATACACCGGATACATATTTTTCTTCTTGATATTTATTTTGTTAATTTCTTATGTTTAGATCTGTGCGGGTTGCAGTAAGGTGATAACAGAGCGCTACCTTCTGAAGGCTCTGGACCAACTATGGCATGAAGACTGCCTCAAGTGCGGCTGCTGTGACTGTCGGCTTGGCGAGGTCGGTCACACCCTCTATACGCGCGCCAACCTCATACTCTGCAAGAGGGATTATTTGAGGTAATTTCGAAATTAATGTCTTGTTACGTAACTTTACGTTTTTTCTTGATTCCTCATAAAATTTCTCACGAATTTTATCTTCTCTTTAAATACTGCACTGCAATTTTTCATGATCGGTCTTTCTACATTTGGACTTTAATTTTTTACACAGCTTTGATGGGTTTTCATATTTATCTATTTATAATAATACGTTTATTTGTTTAATAAGCATGTTCAATCAAATCGAAACCAATTGTATGACCACAAACATGACTCCTCTATGTCAGCGTGTTCTTTGTTTTCTGATTGATTGCATAGCGTGGAATGTTAGATAATTTTTAATTAAAAACAAATGACGTTACAGCCTCTTTGTTTTGTTTTCTGTCGGCCATTAATGGTACGAAATATAACCTTGATTCCATTAGTTTTTATTCTTTAAACATGGAGTGATTATAATTAAAATTGAAACAGTCGCAAGATAATTATAAATTGATTAAAGCTTATTGAAAATTTTTACATTTATTATATTTAAACATTATTACTATGATAGCAATGAAAATCAAATTATCTTTTTTCGTTCGCTTTATTGTCAGTTTGATTTAATTGTTTTTTCATAGTGGATTTGTTTAGTATTTATTCTGTTGTTTAGGTTGTTCGGCAACACGGGATACTGCGCTGCGTGTAACAAGGTGATCCCTGCGTTCGAGATGGTGATGCGCGCGCGCAGCAATGTCTACCATCTGGAGTGCTTCGCTTGTCAGCAGTGCAATCATAGGTCAGTACACGAATGTGATATTCTCTGCTCTACAAATTCGTGTATTCAATTTAAAACAAAGATATTTACATCTACTTTCTTTGATGATGTAAATTTTTTGGAATCACATGCTTCCTTAAAAATATACGTTAACAGTAAAGGAATTATATTTTTTAATTGCACTTTCGTAGTGAAGTCTTTATATTTCACTCGTGTATACGCTATAAAGTCTAAGTCTCGAACTACTTACTCCTACATACGTTATTTCGTTTAATTTTCTCACCTGTCACAAACGATTGCGTCCGTGAAAATTGAATGGGGACCTTGGCTATATTGAATACAGGTCCGGTGTGAAACTTTGCTTCTACGAGCGAGATAAAATATGCAACAATGAAGAGAGCGAAAGAGACAACTCACGTGGGGTTCATATAGCTTATTCAACGCACGAAATGCAAACAAAAGATTGCGATTAAATTTTCCAGTACATAAGGCATTCGCAAGCAAGGAATATGTTTATTATTTCCTCTAAGGGATTTAAGAGATAGACTTGTTATACTTATTTTCAGTAAGATTAAATAACGAAAATTAGTGATCGCTTTAAATAATAGTACCTACCATTTATCGGTTCGATTAGTCTTCATTTATAAAAGTGTAGTAATTTTATTTTTTGTCGCAAAATCTTGGTTCCTCCTGCCAGTATCTTTAGTTCCTAGATTACAACCTTTATGTTATGATTTGCTATTTAAACTACGGACGTTCTTATTGAACGCCGAAACAGTAAAGGAAAAAATTGGGATTTCTGTGTGTCGTAACTGGGGTACGTACGTACGTAACGTGGGGTAACTAATATACTGTGTAGTTTCGAAGACGCAATTTTCACCGGACTTTGTTCGCTTAAATAATATAGAGGTCGCGAAGATTGGAGCCGCTCCGAATGGTTTATACGTCACTTGTGGACCTTTCCAGTACTGCCAGTACTCCGGCGACAGTTTCACCCAATTGTATATTCATTCGACTGCTTTTTGAGTACGGATTTCGTACGTAAAACATTTCCGAGCAAAACGGTTAACGCGATATGAGACGATTGCGCTACAATATTCAAGAAATATCCAGATAGGTCTAGAATATTCTACAGACGTTCCGTTAGGAGTAAATTTGCTGTGTTTAAATAATTATTAAATCATGCAGCAAATTCTTTATTCTCTATCACGAATTTGTTAATAAATAAAGATAGATTCTTACATTGTTTTTTTACCGTTTATTTCTGATTATACGTGTACGTTAAGTTCATTTAATGAATGAGTAAACTAGATAATTACTAGCATGGTAAACACATATTGAATATCAGCGAACATTAAACAATGAACCGCTGAAGCTATTAAATATCACGTGCGAATCAATTTGGCAGCGGCCAGAAATCTGAATCCAATTTGCGGGCTGTCGGATCTGCGGCAAGCGGCTGATACCCGCCCGAATATCGCTAAACTGGTAAATTATTTAGTAGCTATCTACTCCGCGGACGCCGGCGAACAACATGGATGGTACACCGTTCGTCCGTCGCACGCTCGCTACCAACTTGTCCCAATCTGTCACGTTTAGAGACGTGTTTCTATAAATTTTACGAGTAAGCTAAATTTGACGAACATTTGGAACAAGTACTTACATTTGATTTTATAAGCAAAATGGGTAACATTAAGTCCCAGTAACAATTACTTTGTTATAAATGTCTAGGGTATATAGGAATGTTAGATTTGTATGGATGGTAGAAACAACTAAAAAAGTATTAGAGCGCAATATAGCTTAAAAGTTAGATATATAGATGAAGGATCATTGCTTACATAAATTAATGTAAAGTTATTAGAACTACTCAATTTTACAGTTACCAGTTATCTGTAAATGTTTACTTCGAATTAGTTCATTAGTTTATTATAAGTTTATTATAAGTTGAAGTACAGGCACTTGGTCATTGGGAGTAAACTGTAGATAAACAAGCAGGTTTCATCCTTACGACATATACTACTA